ACAGCCGGAGCCATGGTAACAGGGTAAACACACACGGATTTCCTCCCAGCGGTTCCTGAACTGGTTCTGTGGGAACAGACATCTGGACATGGACCTGAAGACCAAACAGGAGCATCTGCAGCCAGAGCAGGAGGCCTCCTGACGTCATCGCCAGGAGGCGGAGTCAAGTACAAACATGACAATGAAGAACATCTTTTTTTTTTTTCCGCCTTTCAAGTCCAATCAGAGACCCGCGTGAAGCTGGTCTTCTTTCTGATTGGCCGCCGCTCGGCTCTTCATGAGATCATCACGAAACTGCTTCGGCTGTCAGCCAATCAGATGTCGTCCTGCTCTGCTCGCTCTCTGGAGGAAACCCACCTGCTGACGATCACTTCCTGTAGACACATTACCAGCTCCATTAGTTTCATGTGTCCGACATCAACCTGGGATCAGAACCACAGTCCTATGGTTCTGGTTCTGACCACTAGCTCCTGATAGCTCCTGGTGTTAACACAGGCAGCATAAATACATTGGGACATGCTGAAGAATATTGCCTCATTAAAAAGGTTGAATTAAGTCAATTTAATTATTTTTCTATTAATTATATTATGTCCACAATATGGATTTAAAAAATGCCCTCACACAATAATTTTAAAGGAAACAACTTAAAATTTATATCATCTCTATTGAAAAATGTCATTTAAATCATTAGCAACTTAGAAAAACAAAAACCCTTCAAAAGAAATTGAACTTTATCCTGTAAGCAGAAGCCTTTTCTATTTTCTCTTTGTTTGCTACAGATCCTTTTTACATGTACTTGGATGCATTTTTGCACATTTCTTATATTGTTTGTATAGAATAAAAAATACATTATTTTATCTTTACCTATTTGTGTATAAATTTAATCAACCTTTTTATTCTACTTGTAGATTGGAAGACCTTTGAGTAACATCATTAATATCTGTTGTTAAAACTCCCTTCTCACCACCGCGGTGGTTCTTATCCTCTGAGCCTCTACCAGAGGATATATAGATATAGATCTATATCTATGTAGATATAGATCTATATCTATGTAGATATAGATCTATATCTATGTAGATATAGATCTATATCTATAGATCTATATATCCTCTGAACTCGGGTCCTCTACCAGAGGCCTGGGAGCTTGAGGGTCCTGCAGTATCTTGGCTGTGCCAAGGACTGCTGCACATTTCTGGACTGAGATGTCTGATGTTGTTCCTGGGATCTGTTGTAGCCACTGCTCCAGTTTGGGGGTTACTGCCCCGAGGGCCCCGATGACCACAGGCACCACTGTGGTCTTCACCTTCCAGGCCCTCTCCAGTTCTTCCCTGAGGCCCTGGTATTTCTCCAAGTGATGTTGCAATCACTTGGTATTGCTACATCTACCACAACGGCTTTCCTCTGATGTTTATCCACTACGACAATGTCTGGTTGGTTCGCCATTACCATTTTGTCTGTCTGGATCTGGAAGTCCACAGGATCTTAGCTCTGGCGTTCTCCACCACCTTTGGGGGTGTTTCCCACTTTGATCTCGGGGTTTCCAGTCCATATTCTGCACAGATGTTTCTGTACACTATGCCTGCCACTTGGTTATGTCGCTCCATGTACGCTTTCATGGTATGATGTATGCAGTAGCTGGAAGGGTCTTGCCTAAGGACCCAGACTGGGTTTGAACCCTGCCCTCTTATGTATTGAGCTATCCATCAGTATTGAGCTATATTTCTTTAATTTTTTCACCATTATTTGTGTTTAGAATGTTTTATTTAATGTAATCAAATATTTATTTTTGAAAAAAACGCAAACACAGGCAGTTACTATGGTAACAGTTAGTTGACCTTTACCTGAACCTTTAATCTACTCAGGCACACAGGTGAGTCCAGGTCATCCTCTGATAGGTCAGTTGGGTAGATGATGTAACACAGCATCAGCTCCTGGGAACCAATCAGGACCTACCATCAAGAAAGATCAACAGCAGCAGCAGGTAGCAGCGACAGGTGGAGCAGTTACCTTGGAGACGCTGGCTGTGATTCTGCTGAGAGCCGCCAGAGAGCGCCAGGAAAACGGGCGCAGCGCCGCCCCCCCCAACGATGCGCCAGTCCTCTCCACCACCACCGAGTAGCTACGGCAAGAGGTCAGGGACAATCTGTGAGGCTCTTGTAGAGCATTTCTAATCGTTTTCAGTAACTAGAGTCGGGATGATCCAGCAGGAGCTCCCAACCTAGAGCGGAACGAGGCGTCTCTGGGAGAGACAACATGTCTGACCTTCTCCTGAACTGGAGCAAACACCTGGAGACCAGAACAGGTGAGCATTACCTGGCGTGGTAGAAAGGTGGTCCCTTCCTGTAGAGCACTGTAACCAGACCAGAGGAGAAAACACACCTGATAAGTCCACAGACTAGCAGAACGTGTCCTGGTTCTGATAAAGGGCCTGGAACAGCTCCAGCTTTTCCCTGCACTCTGACGACAGGTCACAGGGCCTTACTGAGATCAACGCCGTACTTGGCCCCGCCTCCTCCCTTAGGGACCCACCCCTGCTGCGGAAGTGATGGTAAGCAGCGTATGAGCTGACGAAGTTGGACGCAGCAACCGAAACTTCCTCCACAGCTCCACGACTGACAGGGGCTCCTGACCAATCAGAGGACAGGACAGAGATGATGAGGTCACATCCAGATAAAACGCATCAGAGGTCCAAATGAAAGCCTGACCTGCTGCTGGTAGACAGACAGAACGCCGAGGCTGTAGACCAGGAAGAAGGCCTGCAGGTCAAACAGGTGAGCGTGACATTTTGGCCGTTTGGTGGACTAATTGATTGTTTTTCAGTAATTCCTGGGAATAAACTGATTGGATAAAAAAAGACTGGTCTGAGATTGGCTGCTGGTTTGGTTGGTTTGAGCAAGTGTAGGCTGAGTGAGAGTGGTCAATGTTTGGTCAGACTTAAATGCACAAAATCGAATTATTTCTTCACATAGAAATACATGAGTAGATCAGTCTCACTGCCTGCGTAGAGTTGTGTTACCTCCTCCAGGCTCAGCTGCAGGTACTCTGTAAGAGCCAGAGGACTCCGCCTCACCTCCCTGGCTCCGCCTCCACCCTGTAACCATGGAAACAACAACAACAAATAAACTGCAGCAGCAGAGAACACCAGCAGCAGCCACCAAACCAGGTGAGGACTCACCTGAGCCTCCAGGGCCACCAAGACGTAACCGGGACCTGGAACACGGACACCAGAACCGGGATCAGAGTCAGAGTCCGGTTCTGAGTCCAGGTCCAGGTTCTGTGAGTCGGACCTGAACGGTTGACAGGAAACAAGTTCAGTCTGGTTCTTTCTCAGAACTGGTCTCTCTGGGTGCTGAACTCCACCTGCAGTTTCTCTCCTCTGGTTCTGACTCCGCCCCTGGCCTCTTCATTTGGACACAGGCTCCGCCCCCTGGCTCTTCTTCTGCTCCATTTGCCTCCACTTCCCCTCCACAGTCTCAGTCAGAGCCAGCAACGTCTGATTGGCCACCTCTTATCCAATCGCTGAGAAGAAGCTCTGCCTCTGCCCACCTGAGCAGCTCTTCATACCTGTGAGAGTCAGACATGTGACACTGTCACCACAGACGGGACGGGACGTCACAGTGCAAGCAGACAGGACGTGATGTTACGTACCTGGACTGAGAGATGACAGGTAGAAGCACACCTTTGTGTTTCTGTGACAAAAACAGAGGTCAGCACGGATGGATGGCTGAAGATGATGTCATTGTGCGGGTGGAAACTCACGCTCCCATTGGTCGGAAATGCTGTGTTCCGGTCGGGCTCTGGACAGAACCCCTTTCCCAAAGTAACCCTGACAGGACAAAACACATTTAGCCTGAGAGGCGATAAAACCACATGAGCTACACAGTAGGACACCTGAGCATGTCTGGACCTGGCTCTACTGGACAGAACCTGGTTCTGGACCCGCATCTGGTGGTTCATACTTGTTTTTCTGAACCTGGATCTGGTTCTGACCTGGCTGTGGATGCTCTGGATGTGGTCCGGATGGCAGACCAGAACCTGCTGGTGGACCAGCTCCCCCCGGTAATGCTTCCTGTCCTGCCGGTTCCGGTTAGCGGCAGCGGAGCCTCGTAGTCCTCATAAACCCGGGTTCTCCTCCGAGGAGGCCGGAACTCCGCCTGCATTCCGCCGGTTCCAGAGGGCCAGAGTTGGGTCAATCTCAAGTTTAAATGCCGTGATTCGTTCATGGGAGCTGAGGCGGTGCCACAGAAACTGTGTCCGGCTGGAAACTCCATTCGGAACTTCTTCTTTGCGGTTTGAATGCGTCCAAATAATTGCTCTATCGCCATCTGCTGGATGATTCGCATAACACACCTCTCAAGAACGTTAATCGGAACTTTTCCTCCAGCTGCTTCTGCATCCAGGGTTTGGGGTGGTTATGGTTTCGGTTCTGTTCCCCAGGATGGAACCCGAAACGGTTTCCCTTCGTCCTTATTTAGCAGAAATCAATAAAGCTCAGCTCAATGATCTGTAATTGCCATGAAGAACAACACTTCTTCTACAATCCACAAACCCAGTTTGTAAAGAAGAAAAAAAAATGAAGCTCAAAATGATAAAATCTAAAAAAAATTTTCACATGTAATCAGAACCTTTTGGACTTTACCGACCAGAACTTGTATAAAGCTGAACATTACATCTGAGTCTGACGGTACCGACAGGCCCAGAACCCTGCAGACCGGCCCGGACCGAGCCACAAGAATCCTGCTCTGCAGATGCAAACGGGCTATTTAGTACTTTTTTAACAGTACCAAATAGCCCGTTTGCAGGTCTGATGTCCCAGTAAAGTCTCTAAGGGACAGAGGAGGACACGCTGGTCAGACTGGTGTCGTACTCCAAGATCAGAACCAGTCCTGGAACCAACTCCTCCTTTAACCTCAGCCTCTTCCCGATTGGTGGAAAGATTTCCAACATTAGATGCTTCATCCAAAACACAGAGATCTGAAGCTCCATTATGGTTTATGAAAATATTCACCTTTATTTACAAACAATAAATAAACATTCATGTCACTCCAAAATGGACCAACTGGTTCCACTGATTTAACTAGAGCTGCTGTTTCAACTGTTGTAGCTTCAACAATACTGGGTTTAACTGGTAGTGTGATTGGTTTAACTGTGGTTAGACTGGTTTAACTGGTGGTGTCCGACTCTTCCTGCCTGTCTCCCAGTGTCTCCTGTCTGTCTGCCAGGTAGTACTGGTGTTCCTGCAGGTGCCGGATCAGCGTGGTGTACTTTGACACCCTCCTCATCCTCGGCAGGATGAAGCAGCGGGTGAAGTCGTCCCGGCTCAGAGCGCCGCGACCCTCCATGGCCAGGATGCCGTTCAGGAACTGGAGGCAGAAGCTGAAGCAGTTGTGGTCTTCCTCATGGAACCTGAGAGACCGACAGGTGAGTCAGAGAGGACAGGTAGTGAGACAGGGGCTTTGTGTGGAACCTACTTCTGCCACACTGGGTCCCATGCGGGTCCCTCAGAGAACGTCTCCAGGTACTGGTCCCACTGAGCCAGCAGGTGGAACATGTCGGGTCGGACCAGGGGGATGCTGATACAGCGGCTCCACCCACTCTGATCTCGCCGCACACCTTCCTGAGTGTAGTTATAAACAACACCTGGATAAATATACAGGTGAGACAGAGTCAGGTGAGACAGAGCGGTGACATCATCCGGGTGACCTGTAGACCTCCTCACCTGGACACCGGTCCAGGTGAGGACTTATGTCCTCACCTGGCTCATACCTTTAGTGTTGGAGATGCCAGTGTGCAGGTCTGATGTCCCAGTAAAGTCTCTAAGGGACAGAGGAGGACACCCTGGTCAGACTGGTGTGGTACTCCAAACTGGTTTCCTGACCTGGAAACCAGTCACCTGCAGGTAGCTGATACTGCAGGATGTAAGGTTTCCAGGTAAAGAGCTCTGGTGTTCCAGACCAGCACTAACAGAAAACCTCATCACCCACCAATCCAGATTGATCCTGGTTCTACTGGGTTCTCACAGCTGTTGGCTGAATGTTTTCCGCACACTAACCTGGGTGCACCTGTGCAGCTGTGCCGTTACCTGTCCTGGTTGTTGTGCGCAGGAGCAACCAGCAGGCAGCAGGAGGTCTTGTGTCCGTCGGTGAAGGGGGACGGCAGGCTCACCGGCGCCTCCTGCAATCTGCGGCCCTTCAGCTCCTCCCCGCAGCTCGGACACACCTCAGGCACCGAGAAGCAGAAGATCTCCTTCTGGCAGTGGCTCAGGTGGATGACGCTTTGCTCCATCTCCTCCTCAGCTGCTCGGCAGTCTGTCCCACTCCTCTTCCTCTTCTTCCTCCTCTCTTTACCCTCTTCTCCCCACCTCCTCCTGTTGCCTGGTTACAGCCTATCAGACGACATCACAGAGCCTGGCTCCAGCCAATCAGGTGTTCTGGTGTCAGGCAGGTGGTCATGTGACCTGTTTCACCTGGAGGTGAGTCAGTCTGAGCAGGTGACCTCTGGACTGTGTCTGCATTGGTGCCATGGAAACATGGGCAGAGCAGGACATGTTCAGCTTTCCAGTCCGATGTCTGAAGACTGGTCGGGTGTTCTGGTTCTGACCCAAACCAGCAGAAACATTCTGACTTGAAACCTGAAACAGGAAGCTTCCAGGAGCTGCCTCCTGATTGGCTCACTGAATGTTTTCCATCTCACCTGTCAGACGGTGATCTGATCAGTGAGCTCAGGTGAGTGACACAGACCTGGGGTCAAATGTCACACTTTCCTCTTCAGCCATTCGTCATCTCAAAGGAGCAGGTGAAATTATCCTGTCTGTAGGTGAACTGGCCAACCTGAGCTGGCTCCAGGAAATACCCTGAGCCCAATTCCAGAGATCCGATTCACAGGAGGCTCAGATCTTCAGGTAAATCTCCTGGAAGTCCAGGAACAGGAAAGACTAGTGAGTTCCTGAAGGGTTTGGTTTGTCAGGTGGCTGATGAACCTTGATGAACCTTGATGAACCCAGCGGTTCCTCAGGGACTTTGGGGGGATTTGTCAGGGGGTTCATCAGGTGTTCATGAGGGTCCCTGGTGTACTTGAATTTGAGGAACCTTGGAGGTTCCTCCATGGTGCCTCAGGAGGGAGTATAGAGGTCCTGGGTTGGAACCCCAGCCTGGGGCTTTTCTGCATGGAGGTAGTACAACTAGAGCCTGGAACAGAATTAACAGCCTCTGACCTGAAACACAAACCAGAGCCGGAACCAGAACCTCCAGGAATACAAATCAGTAATCCTAAACCTCAACAGGTGAAAGTCCGCCAGGTGAGAGCACAAAACATTCAACCCGAAACCGAACCTCCCTGGGCTGCTGAGACAGAACCAGGACTAGTAATCCACACTGGGTCAGACTAGAACCAAAGAGCTCCTGTTTGGGTCGTTAAAATCACAGCAGAATAACATGAGTCCAAGGGATCAGAACCGGGCCAGAACCTTCGCAGGATGGCGCTGTTTTCCGCAGCTGCAGGAACGTTCCTCCTTCTGCTGCTCACAGCCGGAGCTCTTAGAGCGGAGCACCAGCAGCACACTTCCGGCAGCTGAACGCAGACCACGACGAAGAAGATGAGCACCAGACAGGTGACCTGCAGGTGAGCGCGCGCTCTTTGCTGTGTCTCCGTCCCTCAGCTGCCTGTCCCACCGGCTCAGGACCGTCACTGCGCACGCGCTGCCGTAAAGCTAATGTTTTTAGCCTCTAGCTCCGCCGCTGGGTATGCTTACCTGTGTGAGCATGCGCAGCTATTCACCTGATCAGCCGATTGATCAGTGAGCTGCTCGAGTCCTGCCGTTACCATGGAAACTGTCGTTTCGGGCAGAACATCGCTGCTTGCGTCTGGTTCCGATCCGGTTGCTCTACCTACCCGCTTCGGTCCAGTTAGAACGACTGCAAAAGGTCGAGTTCCGTCCGAACCTCTGCTGTCCAATTAAATCATATCGGAACCGGTTAAATTCTCCAGAACTCCGGATCGGAGATGTTAGGTTTGTCAGAGAAAGTTCTGGTTCTGGACTATCCAGCAGGCTAAAGCTACTGAGCTACCAACCCAAAACAACCAATCAGAGCCAAGAGGAGGGACTTAGTGCAGTCAATCACCTCATGTACCTGTTGCTAAATGTTCCGATGGTGCAGAAACGATTTACAGTCACAGGAAAGGCTACTAGCTTGAGCATTCATATGCTAGCTGCAGCACAGCAAGTTGGGGATATTATTCTTCATAAAATCAAGAAAGTGACCATCGTCTTCATGAGACTCTTGCAAACGCAGAGTATCTTCAGTCAGAGGCTCTTTCAGACTTACTGTACCACAGACTGCTACTGGGAGGAAGCAGAGGAACTCATTTTGTTTTACAGATTGTGTCTCCTGCCACAACATGGTTGAAACAAATGTGTAAAAAATGTTTTATAAAAGCCACATACTGCCGTTTTAAATGACCCACTCTAGCAAAGCTCTGAACGAACCTGAGTGGACTGAACAGGTGACTGCCAGGTGAGTCACGTGTCCAGGTGTATTGCAGGTATTTCCTCCATGGAGTCTGCAGGGAGGGCAGCAACTGCCTGTTCTCTCATGACCTGAACAACAGCAAACCCTCCACCATCTGCAAGTACTACCAGAGGGGAACCTGCGCCTACGGGGAGCGCTGCAGGTGAGCCGCACCTGCCCCTGACAGCTGACCTGTCTAACCTTCCAGGTACATGACAGGTGTGCTGTGTGTCCAGGTATGATCATGTGAAACATTCAATGAGAGGAGCAGGCGGCGGAGCTTCAGCGGACCCAGCAGGTGCAGGCAGAGGGGTCAGAGGTGAAGGGAAGAAGCCTTTGGTCCTGAAGGACAGAGGTAAGGACTCACCTGAGCTGCTGCAGGTAAAAATTGATTTTTTCATACCTGACCGAATTTTAATTTATTTTTTTCTCACTTTCTTTTCCAAAAAAGAAATGTCAAATGACAGAAAATAATTTTGAAAAGTTGATTTAATGAGAAAAAAGTTTCTTTAGAGAAGATCTTCTGAGTTCATCATTCTCTGAAATAGTCAGTTTGACCGATCGACTCAAAGTTCAGCTACTGACAATAATCTGATGCTGACGTGTTTATTAAGTTTAATCTGTAAAACTGATACCAAAGATTAACTTCATAAGATGCTCAACATTCATCATTTTAATTGTAAACTTTTTGTGTTTGCATAAAATTAAGATATTATCCTCCTAAAATTACGACTGCTTTCTTGTTTATAATAAAATTAAACTCCTGACTGTAGAGTTTACCTGAACCCAAATAGACAGAAGCTGTCAGACAAGATGGCCGCCCTGGGTGATGACATCACTCTGAAAAGTGGAAACCCAGGAGCCCATTGGTGGAAAAAAATCAACCTGAACACAAATCAGATCTCCAGAACCCAATAATCTGGTAACTCCTGGGTTCTGCTGGTACTGTGGGTTTGCTTGCGGGTCGGGTCCAGGTGTTGGACAGGTGAGTCCAGGTGTGCTGTTCGGTGTGTGACTCCGCCCCTTCCCGTTCCTCAGCACTGTGCGGCGACCGGACCTTTGGCGGCCTGACAGACGGTCCGACCCCGGCGGTCCCGGAGGCGGCGGCCGCTCCGCAGTCCTATGTGGAAGCCATCAGAACCGGGCTGGACGGGTCGGCTCCAGAACCAGGTGGGTCCCGAACGGAGCCATCCGATTGGCCGATGACAACTTCCTGTTTACCTGTCCTTCTACCTGCAGAGCCACACGCGGTGGGCGGAGCCTATCAGCTTTGTCCATATGCCGCCAGGGGACACTGTTTCTATGGCGACAGCTGCCCGTATCTCCATGGCGACCTGTGTGAGGTGTGTCGGTTACAAGTTCTCCACCCCCACGACCCGGAGCAGAGGAGCGCGCACGAGAAGGTGAGACCCGGGTCCGACCGGCACCGGGTCCCAGTGGGTCCCGGTGCCGGTCAGACCCGGTGCCGGGTCCCGGTGCCGGTCGGACCCGGTGCCGGGTCCCACTGGGTCCCGGTGCCGGTCAGACCCGGTCCCGGTCGGACCCGGCACCCTTCGGACACCGGTGCCGGTCGGTCCCGGTGCCTGACCCAGTCTCTCTCCAGGTGTGCTTGCTGGCCTTCGAGGCCGACATGGAGAAGGCGTTCGCCGCCCAGCTGAGCCAGAACAAGGTGGGTGAGGCGCGTCTCTGTGCCGGTTGCCGTGACGACAGCATCCTGACATCCGTACCTGTGCAGGTGTGCTCCATCTGCATGGAGGTGGTGGTCCAGAAGGCGGCGCCGTCGGAGCGGCGGTTCGGCATCCTGTCCTCCTGCTGCCACACCTTCTGCCTCAGCTGCATCCGCCAGTGGCGTGGAACCAGCAACTTCTGCAACAAGATCATCAAGTGAGTCTGGCCCGGTTCTGGTACCGGAGACAAGAACCAGGGAAAATAGGAAGAGATGAGGGTTCCGACCCGGTCTGATCCGGTTCTCCGTCACCGGTTCCGATCCGGTCTGATCCGGTTCTCCGTCACCGGTTCCGATCCGGTTCTCCCTCCAGGTCCTGTCCGGAGTGTCGGATCATCTCGGAGTTCGTCATCCCATCTGTCTATTGGGTCGAGGACCAGGAAGAGAAGGATCAGCTGATCGAGCTCTTCAAGTCGGGCGTGAGGTAACTTCCTGTGTAGGCCCCGCCCCCCGGCTGTTGGCCAATCAGAGTGTGCGCCTGACTCCTCTGTGTCTGCAGTAAGAAGGCCTGTAAATACTTCGACCAGGGCCGCGGCTCCTGTCCCTTTGGGGGAAACTGCCTGTACCTCCACGCCTACCCGGACGGAACCCGACCGGAACCGGACCGGCCCCGGAAGCAGCTGAGCTCCGAGGGAAACGTCCGGGTCAGAACCCAGTACCGCCCTGACCCCCCGGCCCCGCGCTGCCTGTGGTTCTGACCCGGTTCTGTGTGTCCAGTTCATGAACAGGGTCCGGCTCTGGGACTTCATCGAGGAGCGCGAGCAGCGCGCCGCGCCGCCGCTGGATGATGACATCACTGAGCTGCGCCAGCTCTTCATGCAGATGTCGGGTCCAAGCGCAGAGGAAGCCGAAGCACCGCCCAACCCCGGGGAGTAGGCGCCTGCCGTCTCCATGGCAACCGGCAGCCATGTTGGTCCTGACTGGAGGCTGATGAGGCGAATATTTATTTCTGATGTATAAAGTAAATAGAGACGGTTTAAAACTGAAGCTGTTTGGAGTTGATTTACACACACATTTACACACACATTTACACACATTTACACACACACACATTCACACACACATTCACATTTACACACACATTCACACACACACATTCACACACATTCACACACACATTCACACACATTTACACACACATTCACACACACATTCACACACACACATTCACACACATTTACACACACATTCACACACATTTACACACACACACACATACACACACACATTTACACACACACACACATTCACACACACACACACATTTACACACACACTTACACACACACATTTACACACACACACATTCACACACACATTTACACACACACACTTACACACACATTTACACACACACACATTCACACACACACACATTTACACACACACACTTACACACACATTTACACACACACATTCACACACACATTTACACACACACTTACACACACACACACATTTACACACACACACATTTACACACACACACATTCACACACACATTTACACACACACACACTTACACACACATTTACACACACACACATTTACACACACACACTTACACACACACATTTACACACACATTCACACACACATTTACACACACTTACACACACACATTTACACACACACACACACATTTACACACACATACACACATTTACACACACACACACATTTACACACACACACACACATTTACACACACACACACACACACACACATTTACACACACACACACATTCACACACACACACATTTACACACACACACTTACACACACATTCACACACACACACACATTTACACACACACACATTCACACACATTCACACACACATTTACACACATTTACACACACACACATTTACACACACACATTTACACACACACACATTCACACACACACACATTTACACACACACACTTACACACATTTACACACACACACATTCACACACACATTTACACACACACACTTACACACACACACACATTTACACACACACATTTACACACACACACACATTCACACACACACATTTACACACACACACTTACACACACATTTACACACACACACACTTACACACACATTTACACACACATTCACACACACATTTACACACACACATTCACACACACATTTACACACACATTTACACACACACACACATTTACACACACATACACACATTTACACACACACATTTACACACACACACACACATTTACACACACACATTTACACACACATTTACACACACATTTACACACACACACATTTACACACACATTTACACACACATTTACACACACACACACATTTACACACACATTTACACACACACATTTACACACACACACACATTTACACACACACACATTCACACACACATTCGTGCGCGTTTGTCTACTGATGGTCGGACAAGACAAAAATTTTTGATCAATTTATTTTCAGGGTCTAATTAATGGTCACATTTATTCATCTTCAATTAAAAAATCATTTGCTGTTAAATTATTGCGTAACTAGACATGAACTGCATCAAATATTTATATTTTTTATTCTGTTCTGGTTCTTCAGCCACCAGATTGGAGCAAAAACTCAAAATCTCACAAAAAGAACTTGTTCTACTGGATGATTATTTCACTTATAGAGTGAAATAATTTATAATTGGAATTAGTCCTTTTTTATCGATATCCTGATGAAAAGTTACTGTAAGTTTGTTTTGTCTTATTTTTTTGTTTAATCTACAGAAATACTTGGTGATATTTTGTTTTTGGAAGCCCTGATCATTCCTGCAGCTTCTTTGGAAATGTGAGGACGCTAACATTAGCATTAGCTGGGTAGGATGAGGGGTCAAAAGCAGAAATGACCCCCGAGGGACGATGCTGGTTGTTAGTGGATGTGCATCAAATTTACAGACATATAGAAACGGATGAACACAAAGGTTCCAGCTGGAACTTCCGTACACGAAAAAATTAAAGTGATTCATTAAATTAATTAATCAAAATTAACACGTTTACTTCCGTTCGATTTTCGTTCTTTTTTACAACCCGACCCTAAACCAGGGTGTCCAAAGTGTGGCGCCGGGGCTGTAGTGGGTCAATGATACGAATTTGATCAAACATTTTTACTGAATTAATTATACAATAAACATTTTGCTACAACACAAGGTTTTTGTCTTTAAATAATCAGGCTTTTCACAGTCTCTTGCACAGACCTGGTCCATGCTGTGACTTTTATTCAAAAGAGAACGTTGCTGCACCCAAATCTAGTTCCAAAGAAAGAGTGACCTAAATCCTGATTCTGCTGGTCAGAATTGACTAGACTCCATTTCGGTTGTTTAAACAAGGCAATAAGTTTTGGATCTACAATAATTTATCCTTTTCAAGCAACAAATATGATTATTGCGTTTGTTTAAAGTACTGGATTTTGTTGTTGAGGAGGTAAAATAAAAATGTTTGACTCGGTGCAATGAAAAGTTTGGACATGATGCGCTGCAGCGGATCATAACCCAAACAGCATTTGATTCCTGGGCCAGGAAGCAGCAGAGTTTACTCACAAGGTGAGAAATGCCAAAACACACAAAACAAAGTTCTGAAACCAGTCTGGTTCTGGTTCTGCTGGGAGCTTCTCCCAGGTATAATAGTTGTTTTTCTCCACTGTCACCTTGTGCTTGCGCTGCAGCTGGTTCCACCAGCTGGAAAAAGCTTGATGGCTGTTTTTCATGTTGACCTGGAGCGACACCAGGTGATTTCATCCCGCTGCCCTGTGATTGGCTGCAGAGGCTCCAGGTGTCTGCAGGTCGCCTCTGATTCAAACCGCTGTTGCCGTGGAGATAAAGTTCAGACCCATTTAGCTCGTTTTGTGTCAATAATTCCTTAATACTGATGAAAAGGGCGTGTTATTTCACTTACAAGACATTTCCCAGGTTTTCAGCTGAACAATCTGCAGGTGGAACAAAGAATTATTAACTGAAAACAGTTGCTCAGTCACTTTCTTTTGTCTAATTTCAAGTGTACAAAATTCTTTGCTTTAGAAACTAGACCATAATTGCCCTGCAACAGGCTGGCCTCTCGATACCTGAGCGGCAGCAGCTCCTCCAGACCCCACTGGGAAAAGGGATGGATGGACGAGATCTTCATTTTTTAAGTTACATTTTGAGTGTTTTTGCAGTGCTGAAGGTCTGAGCAGGTACACTGCAAAAACACAACATTTAACCAAGTATGTATGGTCTAGTTTTTAGTACAGATATTTTAGTACATGTGAAATAAGACCAAATACATGGAAAGTTTTAGTGTGTTTTTAGGATTGATAAAATATTGCTGAAAACATTGAAATAATCTGCTAGAGGAACTACAACTTTCTCATCAATATTATTAGAACAAGCAAAGTGAAACTTACTTTCTGTAAGTTAGTTTTGTCTGATTTAAAAGGCAATAAGATTTTTGAAGTTGAAAAATTTCTGAGACAGAAATCCTTGGTCAGATTTAGGTTTTGCAGTGCAGCTCCATGTTTCCTCTCCGGTCCTCCAGGCGTCCCGTCTCCTTCATTGGATGAAACCAGTTGGCCTCCCAGTTCCTCCAGTATATCCCAGAGCCGTGGATGAAGGGAAACTCGGACCTGCTGGGATGAAGAATCCCGGCTCCATCTTGGTTGGAGGAGATATGAGGAACCTTCTGCTCTCTGGCTTCCTGTCTGCTGGGATTACCGTAATCCCACTTTAACTCCTCACAGCTGAGAGTCAGACAGGAACAGGTGGCTGCTCCTCCTCCTCACTCTCTCCTTGCTCAGTCCGGCTGATCTCTGCTCTGCTGCCGGTTGGGATGAAGTTCAGTGGTCCGCCTGACTCGCTGGTGGGCTAACCGAACCCAGCGCTCCGTCTGTCTGGCTGCAGATCAGGAAGGATCAGAGAAGGAGCGTCGCTCCTGCTGGGAATAATGGGAGCTTCTTATGGGAAGGTGAGTGCTGCTCCAGATTCTCTGTGTGTTTACCATAAAAACCAGCCAGCGGCTCTGAAACCCTCCATGATCCAGTTTTAAGTAAATACTGAACCTGAACAAAGCGCTGAACTTTGGCTCTGCAGGTGGATCTCGGCTCAGAGCAGGAATCTGATTAATGATCCGTCAGTTTCTGCTGCTTACAGGATCAGGAATCTGAGGGCCAGTCTGCTGGAACGGAGCTCATAATCAGGTTATTTCTGCATGAAGTCAGCTGAATCTGGGCCGACCCGAACGCGGTTCTGTCTGGGTTCTGTGGGCAAGAATACAACGTTCTGCTGGTTAAACAGGACAAAAAAATGACAATATTTCCCATCATTCTCTGAAACATATCTAGAGCAGTTAATTATGACTAATTGATTATTGGGATAGTCATCAACTAGTTTAGTAATCGATTAATCGTTAACTAGATAATAAAGACACAACACACAGAGCTGTAATTTATCTAAAACTAAAAATATATGAATATTTTACAATGAGAAAAAAATAATATTGGTAAATATATCCAACTCAAAACTTGTCACTGGCAGGGTTGTCATTTTCTGTAAAATCATCTCTTATTAAGCACCAATTATTACTTAAAAAATCTAAATATTAATCACCAGATCAACTCTACACTATTGATTTTGAGATAATAATATTAAAAATACTTTTTTTAGCTCCAGATGCTACAAATAATCAAAGGAATGTGATGTTGCATCATTAATGTTTATTTTCTTGTATAAAAAAAGAAAATGAATTCTGTAGTTCTAATACTGTATCAAATAAACTGAAAGAAAAAACAGGAGTGCCAATTTTTTATCCAATTAATTATCAGAATGAGCTATCGATTTGGCGATTAATCAATTATTCTGCCAATTAATCGTCAGATTAACTGAAACAATCATTAGCTGCAGGCCAAACCGTGTGGCTGGATTTGGGTCTGACTCTCTGGTTGCTCTTCATCGGCCTCCCAGTTCTCCCAGTTCTCCACTGGGACTCAAACCAGCAGCCTAAGAGCCAAGCTCTCTGGTGGCTCAGAGGGACGAAACGCCGGCTAACGCAGATTACATGGACCAATCAGAACCACCCAGCAGCTTCCTAAAGGCTCTGCTTTGTTCTACTGGTATTTATGGTTCTACTGGTTCTGCTGGGCCGTCCGTAGCAGAACCACCGGCAGAGGACGCCAGTCTGCCTGCGCTCCAGTAGCAGAACTTGGGCCGCCGCTCTGCTCAGAAACTCGACCCGGACCAAATATGTGAGGTATGAGGAGCGACGCACCTGTCCAGCTGGGAGCAGTTGTTGCCAAGGGAACCAACAGCTGACAGCAGAGGTGGAGCGGCTGGGGATCATGGAGTGGTCTGCAGGAATGTTCCAGGGTCAAAGGTCAAAGAGAGGAAAAACAGACTGATTTATACAGGTAAACGCCCGAGTCAGGAAATACAGGTAACTACAGGAAGATTCATGTAACTAAAGGAAGATTCATGTAACTACAGGAAGATACATGTAACTACAGGAAGATACATGTAACTACAGGAAGATACATGTAACTACAGGAAGATACATGTAACTACAGGAAGATACATGTAACTACAGGAAGATACAGGTAACTACAGGAAGATACATGTAACTACAGGAAGATACATGTAACTACAGGAAGATACATGTAACTACAGGAAGATACAGGTAACTACAGGAAGATACATGTAACTACAGGAAGATACATGTAACTACAGGAAGATACAGGTAACTACAGGAAGATACATGTAACTACAGGAAGATACATGTAACTACAGGAAGATACATGTAACTACAGGAAGATACAGGTAACTACAGGAAGATACATGTAACTACAGGAAGATACATGTAACTACAGGAAGATACATGTAACTACAGGAAGATACAGGTAACTACAGGAAGATACATGTAACTACAGGAAGATACATGTAACTACAGGAAGATACATGTAACTACAGGAAGATACATGTAACTACAGGAAGATACATGTAACTACAGGAAGATACAGGTAACTACAGGAAGATACATGTAACTACAAGAAGATACATGTAACTACAGGAAGATACAGGTAACTACAGGAAGATACATGTAACTACAGGAAGATACAGGTAACTACAGGAAGATACATGTAACTACAGGAAGATACATGTAACTACAGGAAGATACAGGTAACTACAGGAAGATACATGTAACTAAAGGAAGATACAGGTAACTACAGGAAGATACATGTAACTACAGGAAGATACAGGTAACTACAGGAAGATACATGTAACTACAGGAAGATACATGTAACTACAGGAAGATACAGGTAACTACAGGAAGATACATGTAACTACAGGAAGATACAGGTAACTACAGGAAGATACATGTAACTACAAGAAGATACATGTAACTACAGGAAGATACAGTAACTACAGGAAGATACATGTAACTAAAGGAAGATACAGGTAACTACAGGAAGATACATGTAACTACAGGAAGATACAGGTAACTACAGGAAGATACATGTAACTACAGGAAGATACATGTAACTACAGGAAGATACAGGTAACTACAGGAAGATACAGGTAACTACAGGAAGATACAGGTAACTACAGGAAGATTCATGTAACTACAGGAAGATACAGGTAACTACAGGAAGATACAGGTAACTACAGGAAGATACAGGTAACTACAGGAAGATACATGTAACTACAGGAAGATACAGGTAACTACAGGAAGATACAGGTAACTACAGGAAGATACATGTAACTACAGGAAGATACATGTAACTACAGGAAGATACAGGTAACTACAGGAAGATACAGGTAACTACAGGAAGATACAGGTAACTACAGGAAGATACATGTAACTACAGGAAGATACAAGTAACTACAGGAAGATACAGGTAACTACAGGAAGATACAGGTAACTACAGGAAGATACAGGTAACTACAGGAAGATACATGTAACTACAGGAAGATACATGTAACTACAGGAAGATACAGTAACTACAGGAAGATACAGGTAACTACAGGAAGATACAAGTAACTACAGGAAGATACAGGTAACTACAGGAAGATACAGGTAACTACAGGAAGATACATGTAACTACAGGAAGATACAGGTAACTACAGGAAGATACAGGTAACTACAGGAAGATACAGGTAACTACAGGAAGATACAGGTAACTACAGGAAGATACATGTAACTACAGGAAGATACATGTAACTACAGGAAGATACAGGTAATTACAGGAAGATACAGGTAACTACAGGAAGATACATGTAACTACAGGAAGATACATGTAACTACAGGAAGATACAGGTAACTACAGGAAGATACAGGTAACTACAGGAAGATACATGGAACTACAGGAAGATACAGGTAACTACAGGAAGATACATGTAACTACAGGAAGATACATGTAACTACAGGAAGATACAGGTAACTACAGGAAGATACATGTAACTACAGGAAGATACAGGTAACTACAGGAAGATACATGTAACTACAGGAAGATACATGTAACTACAGGAAGATACAGGTAACTACAGGAAGATACAGGTAACTACAGGAAGATACATGTAACTACAGGAAGATACAGGTAACTACAGGAAGATACAGGTAACTACAGGAAGATACAGGTAACTACAGGAAGATACAAGTAACTACAGGAAGATACAAGTAACTACAGAAGATACAGGTAACTACAGGAAGATACAGGTAACTACAGGAAGATACATGTAACTACAGAAGATACAGGTAACTACAGGAAGATACAGGTAACTACAGGAAGATACAGGTAACTACAGGAAGATACAGGTAACTACAGGAAGATACATGTAACTACAGGAAGATACATGTAACTACAGGAAGATACAGGTAACTACAGGAAGATACAGGTAACTACAGGAAGATACATGTAACTACAGGAAGATACATGTAACTACAGGAAGATACAGGTAACTACAGGAAGATACAGGTAACTACAGGAAGATACATGAACTACAGGAAGATACAGGTAACTACAGGAAGATACATGTAACTACAGAAGATACATGTAACTACAGGAAGATACAGGTAACTACAGGAAGATACATTAACTACAGGAAGATACAGGTAACTACAGGAAGATACATGTAACTACAGGAAGATACATGTAACTACAGGAAGATACAGGTAACTACAGGAATACAGGTAACTACAGGAAGATACATGTAACTACAGGAAGATACATGTAACTACAGGAAGATACAGGTAACTACAGGAAGATACAGGTAACTACAGGAAGATACAAGTAACTACAGGAAGATACAGTAACTACAGGAAGATACAGGTAACTACAGGAAGATACATGTAACTACAGGAAGATACAGGTAACTACAGGAAGATACAGGTAACTACAGGAAGATACAGGTAACTACAGGAAGATACATGGAACTACAGGAAGATACATGTAACTACAGGAAGATACATGTAACTACAGGAAGATACATGTAACTACTGGAAGATACATGTAACTACAGGAAGATACATGTAACTACAGGAAGATTCATGTAACTAAAGGAAGATACAGGTAACTACAGGAAGATACATGTAACTACAGGAAGATACATGTAACTACAGGAAGATTCATGTAACTACAGGAAGATACAGGTAACTACAGGAAGATACATGTAACTACAGGAAGATACATGTAACTACAGGAAGATTCATGTAACTAAAGGAAGATACAGGTAACTACAGGAAGATACAGGTAACTACAGGAAGATACAGGTAACTACAGGAAGATACAGGTAACTACAGGAAGATACACGTACTACAGGAAGATACAGGTAACTACAGGAAGATACATGTAACTACAGGAAGATACAGGTAACTACAGGAAGATACATGTAACTACAGGAAGATACATGTAACTACAGGAAGATACAGGTAACTACAGGAAGATACAGGTAACTACAGGAAGAAACAGGTAACTACAGGAAGATACAGGTAACTACAGGAAGATACAGGTAACTACAGGAAGATACAGGTAACTACAGGAAGATACATGTAACTACAGGAAGATACAGGTAACTACAGGAAGATACAGGTAACTACAGGAAGATACATGTAACTACAGGAAGATACAGGTAAACTACAGGAAGATACAGGTAACTACAGGAAGATACATGTAACTACAGGAAGATACAGGTAACTACAGGAAGATACAGGTAACTACAGGAAGATACATGTAACTACAGGAAGATACACGTAACTACAGGAAGATACATGTAACTACAGGAAGATACAGGTAACTACAGGAAGATACAGGTAACTACAGGAAGATACAGGTAACTACAGGAAGATACATGTAACTACAGGAAGATACAGGTAACTACAGGAAGATACATGTAACTACAGGAAGATACACGTAACTACAGGAAGATACAGGTAACTACAGGAAGATACATGTAACTACAGGAAGATTCATGTAACTACAGGAAGATACATGTAACTACAGGAAGATACAGGTAACTACAGGAAGATACATGTAACTACAGGAAGATACATGTAACTACAGGAAGATACAGGTAACTACAGGAAGATTCATGTAACTACAGGAAGATACAGGTAACTACAGGAAGATACAGGTAACTACAGGAAGATTCATGTAACTACAGGAAGATACAGGTAACTACAGGAAGATACATGTAACTACAGGAAGATACATGTAACTACAGGAAGATACATGTAACTACAGGAAGATACATGTAACTACAGGAAGATACAGGTAACTACAGGAAGATTCATGTAACTACAGGAAGATACAGGTAACTACAGGAAGATACAGGTAACTACAGGAAGATACATGTAACTACAGGAAGATACAGGTAACTACAGGAAGATACAGGTAACTACAGGAAGATACAGGTAACTACAGGAAGATACAGGTAACTACAGGAAGATACAGGTAACTACAGGAAGATACAGGTAACTACAGGAAGATACAGGTAACTACATGTAGCAAGCAACAGGAAGCTGCTCCATCAGGTAGCAGCTGAAATCAATCGTATTTCTGACGTGTTGGGTCTTTTCTTACAGGACTAGAACCTGAAATCCAGAACACAGTCTGTCTGAAGCTGGACTCTTTGTTAGTGCTGAAGAAACAGCAGGTGGCGCTGTGCAAGTCTGTGTTCCTCAATCAAACGATTCCGGTTATACTATTAAACTGGACCCAGCCTGGGCCGACACCAGAACAGAGAGGAGCTGAAAGTGATCCACCAATCAGAGCCCAGATCCTCAGCCACCAATCAGAGCCCAGATGGGAGGAGAAACGGACTCCAGGTCCGTTTCTCCTCCCATCCTGAGTCGCATGAATGGATCTTTGTTGGTTGCTATAGGAGCAATTTTGATCAGCCAATCAGAGCCCAAATCCTCAGCCACCAATCAGAGCCCAGATCCTCAGCTACCAATCAGAGCCCAGATCCTCAGCTACCAATCAGAGCCAAGATCCTCAGCCACCAATCAGAGCCCAGATCCTCAGCTACCAATCAGAGCCCAGATCCTCAGCTACCAATCAGAGCCAAGATCCTCAGCCACCAATCAGAGCCCAGATCCTCAGCGGTCAACAGAACTTTGCGTAACTTTGGACGGGATCTGATCCAGGTCAGATTGGACCGGGTCACCGGAACTCGCCTCCGGTCTGCAGAAGATTAGGCCGAACTAAAAATACTGAAACAGCCGCGATGGTTAATTAGCGTTTAGAAAGTTACACTGTAAAAACTGAATGGCAAGAATTTGGTTTATTTTCACCATATTATTTATGCGTCTATAAATAGTTCCAAACTTAAAACTTAATTCGCAAACAAAATATGTATTATGTAAAATAAAAATGTAGTTGGAAAATTAAATGTTTTGTTTGGAAAAATGTTGTTTGGTACTAAATAGTGAAATAGATATTTAATGTGTAGTTTGCTAACTATCTCAGACTGAAACATTTAGAGCAGAACTAAATATTTAGTTTGGAACATTTCTAAATGTAGTAATAAATGGTGAAAACATAACTCACATTTTTTGTTTGCAGTGAAATAAATCAATTATTATTACTGTAGATTTTCACTGTGTTACTGTACAAACAGCAGCCCATACTGGTGACTGAGAGGAGAAGAGGTCCGGTTCTGGTACCTCAGAATCTGACCCGATCCAGTGGTGGTTCTGATCCATTCTACAGGTTCGGTTCCAGTTTGAATGGCAAACAGATTTAAAATTGATCTCTGTGGATGAATTAATGATTA